CAAATTCTCATGACAATATTACACGATCCCAATCGCTGACACCAACCATGGCTAGGCCTAGCAATTGAGTTGTTCTTATTGCCATATGTTAGAGATTTAGGAGTTGTGGTTATTTGTTTCCAGCTTACAACTGTTTTGACATTTGGTTTGCTATAGAGAAAAGATATTACTGATTAAAAGTTGTTATTGAAAATGCTAAGTATAATATTTTAAAAAATTATTATCTTATTTACAAAATTTTAAATAAATTATTTTTTATTATATTTAATTAAGTTTTTATAATCTTATTTTAAACTAAATAAGTCTTTATGATCTAACACTTGACAAAATATTGTTAGTTAAATTGTCACTTAACATTTTATATTCATATGATGTTAACGTGCTATTGCTATTGACTTAGAATATGAAAATGTCATGTGGCTATAAAATGATGTTAACTAAACATATAACATCAACATTTATTCGTACATATCAGCTCCATGAAGAATGAGGTAACTGATTTTGCAAAATTAAGAGATTGAAAGATGAGGTGAAAGGCTAGGAGATTACATGTCAAAAGGGAGGCGAACTCGAGAGCTAACACTTTAGCAAAGGAGGGTGTGCAACTTAATGAAGATTACAAGATCGTGGCTTGACTTTATCCATCCAATATTATCTCTCATATTATCTCTTTAATTGATATGTATATAATCCTTTTCTTGTATATGATAATTTTGATAAGCAAGATGGACTTATTATGAGTTTATCTAAGGAAGTAGTTTAGTTTCTTCAAAGGCAGTATCCTACGGGAACAACCAATCAATTCTTATATAAATATTTGTACTTTATCAACCTATGAATATATGCTGAATTAAACTTACTCTTTTAGGTATCAGAGCCGGTTAGTCCAAAACTTTAATTTTTCAACCATGGCAAAGACAATGCAAATCAGGTTAATGAGAGCTTGGTATCATCTGTAACTACATCACACAATGTCGTAGTTGACACCAAGTCTTCATATTTTTTACATTCATCAAACCACCCTGGCTTGATTTTATTCACTCACCCTCTCACTGAGAATGGTGAAAATTATTTTATCTAGAGATAAAGTTTTTCGAATGCATTATAATATAAGAATAAGACAAGGTTTATAGATGGGACCATAGTTTAACCAGATGCCAATTTTAAAGGCTATAAGTCATGGGTTTAGTGCAATGCCATTGTACTATCATGGCTGACAAATGCCTTTGCAACGGAGATTCAAGGTAGCACAGCACTTGCTGAAATGGCTTATAAGGTTTAGGCAGATCTTCAAGAGAGGATCACACAAGCAATAGCTTCATGTGTTTATGAGTTGGGCATATGATTACATTATTGCAATAAGAAAAGTCTTCAGTCTCAGCCTATTATGGTAAGCTCAAAACTGCTTGCGGTGACGTACAAGCTTCAATCCCATACCTTATTAGTCCCAAAGAGCATACTAGATGAGGGGTGAATAGTATTTTCAAAATAACACTAAAATTCCTTTTAAGTAAAAAGCTTATTAAAGGAATTTAAAAATGAAAGTTTAAAGCTTGCTAGATGAATGGTTTAAGTACTAAAAGTAAGAAGAAAATAAAAGAATGTAGATAAAATACAATGATTTATAGTGGTTCGGTCCCCTTGACTTACATCAACTACCTTGATTTCCCAATCAGGAATTTTCAAACCAATTCACTAAAATCAATGAAATTCCAAGCTTCTACCAAGCTTTTACAATAGCTTTTCACAGGCTCAGCCACAATTTTTAACAATGGTTTTTCACGAAATCAACCTAAACCAACCAAGCTAACTCAAGCTTAATCAATCTCCTTAGAATGACTCGTATACTATAAGTAATCAAGAAGTATAAGTATAAAGAAGTACCTATGATCATTAATCTGATCTAAGTGGTACAAGGTCAAGTGCTAAACTCTATTACAAAGATTGGAGTGAAGTGCAGAAAGTATGAAGAGAGTTTTTGCTATTTTTGAACTTTTTTTTTATCTTGGAAGCATCTCCTTTTGTTCTCAGCCATTGGGAAAGGTTTTTATACTTGAAAAACTAACTATGATGGATGTTTGATAGCTTCAAATCGTTGGAAATAGTTTGGAGTCAATTCTAGCCATTACGTCTATCTTTTAGTATTCAAATTCAAATTTTTAGACAGAGTGTTCTTAGTCGACTAACATGCTTCTTAGTTGATTAAGTTGTCTCTGTCTTAAAATCTCAGTTTCTGACGATGAGCTCTTAGTTAACTAACAATGCTTCTTAGAGCCTGTTCAGCTTAGCTTTTTTCTAGCTTAAAAGCTATTATAAAGCTCTTATGAAAAATAATAGTTTTTATAATTAAGTTGAAATTGTTTGGTAAATTTTTTTTTATAAGTTCTTTTTTATAAGTTATAATTTTGGTTAAAATTATCGTAAAGGGTATTTTTTTTTTAGAAAGTTATATTGTAATTATTTTTAACAGATAAGGATATTTTTGAAACAAAAATAAAAATTTTCTTGTATTTTTAAAAAAAGAGAAGAAAAAGCTCCTCATAGGAGCTTTTCCTAAAGCTCTTTTTTTAAAAAATTTATTTTTTTAAAAAAGTTATTTTTTTTAAGAGCTTTTCAAAATTTATGTTTGGTCTGGCTTTTACTTTTAAGAGATAGATAAACTGAAAAAAAAATCAAGCCAAATAAGCACTTAGTCGATTAAGTTCTCTCTGTTTTATATTTGAAGTTTCTGGTAGTGAACTCTTAGTTAACTAACCATACTTCTTGGTCGACTAAGTCTTCTCTGTCTCTAACTCGGCCAACTTTATTTTTGAATTTTAGTTGACTAACTCCCTTGGTTATCTAATTAAGAGGTTTCTATTTTGTGACTCATTTGTAACTTCTTATTTTAATGAATTTTGATATTTGCTTTCCAATAATTAATTTGTTATTGATATACATTTTCATTCTGCACACTTAAGTAGTATAGTTAGATATAAATGAATGAAAATGTTTTATTATCATCAAAAACTCATAGAGCCAACATACTTGTATGTACATGTGGTTGCAAGTGTGAAGTTGCGAAGAAGATGGAAGACATGCGAGAGCAAGAAAAGGTGTTTGACTTTCTCATGGGATTGGATGACACATTTAGTATAATGAAATCTCAAATACTTAGTGTTGATCCATTGCTTGGCTTGGGGAGAGCATATTCCATCGTGGCATAAGAGGAAAAGCATAAACAAGTTTTTGCGGGTCAAGCCTATTTATAACTTTATGTTATAATTTACTGAATTTGGTTACGAATTCACTAAAAGGATTAAGAAATGTAAGGTCAAAGTTGTATGATTTGTTCTTATGTTCCTTTACAAGCCACCCTTAATAATTTTTTGAGTAAAATACATTGATTTATTGAACTTTTGATCATAATCACACGTAAGTTTATTAATTTTTAAAATAGATATTTCGTCTTAAAATAATATTTTTTCTAAACACATAAGTTCTACCATTAGTCAAATATCAATATTTTTGTTAATTTGACTATGTGATAATATTTAAAGATAATTTTATTTTTTATTAATTTTAAAAATTATTACTATGTAAATTATATTTTAAATTTTTTATATAAAAAAATACTCTCAATCGATCACCCTGTAACTAACAACACTCCTCTCAAGAGTATGATCAACGCTCCCTAAAGGAGCACCAAATCATTTGTGCTCTTCTAAAGATCACAATAAAGGGACTTGGTGTTCCTTTGGGGAGTTCAAGATTTGGGGTGCGTGGTAAGATCTTACACTTTCTTGGAGAGATTTGGTTGAATTTGGCATTCAATTGTTAGATTCGATCGCAAGATAACCAATAGGTGTAAGGAGCATTAGTGACCAACTTGAGAGAAAAAAAAATAAAATAAAATAGATATTTCACATTTAGAAATTAACGTTATTTACACGTTTGAAGTAGAGCATTCATTTTGAAATTTAATACATTTGCATGTAATTATAATTAAAAATTAAAAAAATAGATTTATTGTATCTTAAATTTTTGATTTATTTTAAGGTGAAAAATAATGTAACTTTTAACCAAAACTCTCGTCATTTTTCAGAAAAAAAAATCAAAAAATATATAGCCACGTGGTTATGAGTTATTGGCTTGTTTACAAAAAAGGTGGTCCATACTTCGAGGTTTGTCTTTCATCCATTGATCTTAGTGGTACCAATAATGTACATATAGTATTTTCATTTTATTTTTCAAAGGATATATAATATATTCATGAAGCTAATAATACGTATAATATATGCGTGCATATATTTATGCTTTATAATTAAAAATACACAATAATAAAAAATAAAATTATATACTTTTTATTAAAAGTTTTCATGGGCCGAATCAAACTTGGTTAACATCTCAAAAATTTAAGTTAAAGCCCAAACATGACATGGCCTGATCTATTTATTTAAGTTAATAATATTATTAAAATATAAACATATTTTTATTACTATTTAAATTTTTCACAGATAATTTAAAATTAATTAAATTATTTATTTAATATAATACATCTTGAGTTGGGTTAAGTTTGGACCTTAAAAATCTTATACAAAATTGACTTGGGATTTCAACTCTCATATAACATTTGATAATTTATTAAAATTACGATGGTTGAAAATATAATTATTTAATTATTAAATAAAAAATAAATAAAAAGGGCCTTTTCTAGGTTTGTATTGAACAATTATTATATTAAAAATATATTTTTTATTTAACTTTTTAAAATATATTTTAATAATAAATATAATATTAAATTGGTAAACTGAACTTAACTTTGAAGAGAAAACGGGGCCCGGCCCTGCCCGGCATTGGACACTGGACATCTCTGCGTATAAGTTTTGGCCTTTTGGGTACATTTTTGAATTCAAAATGGAGGAAGGGCTGAAAGGGAAGTTTCCTTTTTCTTAAAAACGGGAAATAAAATGTTGACGTGGCAAGTTGTACAGTAGAATACGCACATAATGCTACCTTAAGTCGCACTAGAATAAGCAAAAATTACTGAGAGAGTGACCAGAAACCCTCCGACTTCCCTGTCCTGAACCCTCTCTCTATTTAAGGCAGCCCCCCCGGCGATCTCTGTTTCCCCGTTCACCAGACGACAAGGTCGAAGGTTAGATACTCTCCGTAGCGGCAAAATGTCTAGGATTCTCAAAGGTTTCAGGGCGCTTTTAGCTTCCCCGGCGGTGTCGACGTCGTCAGCAACAACAGCAGCCAAGTTTTCTTCTGCTTCTGCTGCTGCTGCGAAACCAGCTGCTGCTAAAGTGAGCCGGAAACCAAAAAAGCCGACCACCTCAAAACCAAAGACCGACAAACGAGCTGCTTCTCGAACGAGGAATCGACCCACCGGGATATCACAGGTTACCCCTGTTTCACCTGCTTTGGGTCAGTTCCTTGGAGCCCAACAGGCTTCCCGTACTGAAGCTGTTAAGCAGATCTGGACCTATATCAAATCGCACAACCTCCAGGTGGTCGTCTCTCTCTCTCTTTATTTTTCTCTTGCTTCAGCTATGATGTTTTCATTTAGTATTTGATATGTTAAATGGTTTTTTTTTTTGTTGATAACTTTCTTTGGTTGTCTTAACTTTGTGTTTTTCTCCCTGTTTTCTTGAGTTTTTGTTTTATTTTATTAAAGTTGCTTTCATTTGATATATTTCGTGAATGATGGATATTATGAAGTTATAAATAAAAAAACGTGGGTTTGAGTATTTTTCTGGGGTGATGCGGCTTAACTTTAGTGTTTTGTGTGTCATTTATTGATGGGTTTCTGTTCTAGTTGCTTGGTTGATGGCTCTGTTGGATTTCTGGCATCCCTTTTCTGGGTTTTTCGCCCCTTATATTTTTGTTTTATTTTCTCTGTGGTGGTTAATGATGGAACTTGGAGCTGCTTGGTGTTTATGTTCAAAAGAAATTAAGCTGGTAGTTGTGGCAGGCTTAGTTTTATGAATGTTAATAAGAATTAATAAGTAAATAGATGTGGGGCTTTAGTAAAATACATTTGGAACACTGTTTATTTGTTTCCATTGATGGCTTCTTATTGGTGATGAATCTAAGTTTAGTGCTTTTTAAGGGGATTCGCATTGATGCTTGGATTGCAATTGTAAAAGGAGTTCTTTTTATTTTTTCTGGTGTTCTCATTTTTTATTTTTAGTGACATTTATAAGAAAAGACTGGGTATAACTCTGAGAAGGGATGAGACCTGAAGGTGCATAATATTTTCTTCATGTAATAAAGTGAAGTAAAGGTGAAAGGAAAGAAGGGTTGGTTCCCAAAGTGATGTATAAAACCTTGGATTCTGTCACCTGTGCTTAAATTAAGCCACTGCTTCTCCCTCCATGTCCCTTCTTCTTGCATTTCCTGGTTTTCTACACACTATGGTTTTGCTTGGATTTTGGGAGGAAAATTGGAATAGAACTTTCCTGTTTCTTGCGGTAAATGATGTCTTCATTACTTTTCCACAGAGTTCAAGAGGTTACTTCACTGGTTGGATATTAGAAAGCACTAGGGGAAGGAAAAGCAAAAGGAATTATGTGAGAATATTTAAGAATCAGACTTAGTCTCTTACGGTGACTTGCTACTTCCTTCAATTTAGTGTTAGATCCTTGAGGAGGGTAAGAAATTGAAAGGAGAAATACTTTTTGTCCTTTGGGTTAATGAGACTGTCCTGACAGATACTAATAGGTACCTTAGGTATTTGGTGTTTGAGTTGTCTAATGGCAGGTTATATTCGGGAAGGGCATGATGTTCTTCCCTGAATTTCAGTAGAGAGAAGTGGATGGAGAAACAGAAAGGTTTACAGGTGCTCATTTTTTTGTCTCCCTTAATGACCCTCGTCCTAAAAGGACTTGGGGGCTAGTATAACAGATAGAATTTGTGCGTGCATATGTAGTGGAAAGTACTATTTACACCCAATAGTTATGCTCCTTTTTCTAACATTAGTTTTTATCTGATACTCAAGTATATTCTGCATCTTATCCATCCTCATTTCTTTCTTCACCTCCTCTTTCTTGTTTAGATGTGCCCCTCCTAGGCAGCATCTTGATTCTCTGCCCCCATTTTTCTCTTGATTCTTTCTTTATAGATTTCATTGGAGAATCCTACTTCTTTCACATACTCTCCCATGAATTTGCATGTGCATTCACTACACATGATCTAGACAGTTAGTTCCTTTTAGTTCTTTTTCAGGGCATTTGATTGGCATCTTATTACTGATTAACTGTTATTGATAGAAAAGAGATCACGAATGTGGAAAGTCAAGTATGGGAGAATGGTTGAGAACAGGTGTAAAACTGATAAGCCTCTCTGCACTGTGTGTTGATCTTCCTAACATCATGCATGTGTTATGTCTATTGAATTTGGGTAAAACAAATTTATGCAGTCCTCATTTGTGTTTCCCATAGGCAGGAAATGATAATCCTGTTTTTACCCAGTCCCATAATTTTTATGTGGATAATCGTGATTCTTTTTCTGCTGGACTATGTAAGCGGTTATTGCCATTATTGCCATATATGCTGCTTTTCATGATGTTAATTGCTGATTTTTACTATTTTATGTTTAATAGATTTCGCTCAGATATCATATGTGAGTGACTCTGATTTTTTGTTATGAGGAAAATTTTCCTCTAATATCATTACACTAAAATATATGGATACTTTTGCCTGCAGAATCCCAGTAACAAGAGGGAGATCTTTTGTGATGAGAAGCTTAAGGCCATTTTTGATGGAAAAGAAAAGATTGGTTTCCTGGAGATTGGAAAATTGTTAACCCACCACTTTGCAAAGACTGACTGACCTCTATTGTCGTATTTGGCCTTGCATTGCCCAACCAATAATGAGCTAGCTCCTGTCATTCTGAACTTAAACTCTTTTCAATGTATGTTCATGTTTGCATTTTGTGTTTAGAGCTGAACTTGCTGGGGTGGGCTTGGGAAAGGTTCTAGCTACGCTTGTGTAAAAATTTAGTAGGGACTAGAGATTGAGAAAGTAGCATCTTAATTTGGTTTCCTGATTTTAATTTTATTGTTTATGCTAACTGGATCTTTGATCAAGTAGTAGTTTAATTGTTCAACTATGAGGAAACCATTGTTGACTTTCACATTCATAGGTAGCCCTTATAAGCTGCCTTGTATATGGGTGAGGCAAGCAGAATCATTTGTGAAATTACTGGCTACGCATGCATTGAGCCATGCTTTTGCATGTGGCTTAATTTGAGGTTCAAATTAACGTGGGATGCAGATCGTTGAATTTTTAGTCTATTCCGGTCAGGTCGGTGGAGCTTTCAGTAGAGAGGTTTCTTGAAGTTGAGTCATTTTTGCAATGTTTTCAGTTTCCAGACAACCGGTAATGGTCGGGATGAGGGAGCTCTTGTCTCCTATAGCCTATAGTCATCAGTGATTTTCAATGGTGTATGATGATTGTGACATTGCATGGCTAATAACTCCATAATTTATTTAAACCCGATGGTGGTGGCTGGAATGATAGCAATGGTTTGTGAGATGTAGAAGGAAACATGTACCACTGGTTTTTCTTTAAGGATATTCGAGCTGTACCAATAGTGGCAAAAATATCCTCAGACTGTATACAGTTGCATTTCTTTAAATCTTTCCATGTTCTATGAGTTTACGTGGCAAGGTAAAGTTGTGTGCATTTAAGTCCTGGCCTTTGCCCCAGGCTCACAGCTTTAGGCCTTTCTCTCTTCACCCAATCTGACTTTCAGATTCAGGTATTTCGAATCAAATTAAACAGCTTAACCATGAATGGGTCATTGTTTGATGCTTTTTGCCTCTTCAAGTTCAATGGAGAACAATGAGGAAGAAGAAACCAAGGGTTTTAGAGGAAACGAAGAGAACCAAAAAAAAAAAAAGAAAAAAAAAAGACAAATTTCTAAAATTAGCAAGTAGCCAGAAAAAATATTAGGAGCAAGAACTCCATTGGCAATCAATATATATTAATAGACATTTTCTTCATCATTTGAGTATCTTAGACTTGATTAGTTGAGGAGATGATGTATCCATTGCTCTACAACGGGGGGAGAACCATACCATGGTCTTGATACATCATCTGAACCAACTGGTGAGTGGTAGACTCCATCCAAGCTAATGTTGAGTGCTCCTTCTAGATGAGCTGATACTTCTGGTACAACTCCATCACCCCATACATCTGCCTGTCCACAAACCTGATTCAAGGCTAAAACTTTCCATGAGAAACTAGCATTCAACATGGTGTCACAGGATCAGACCTATCGGTCTTATGACTCCACTGTCATACTTGAGAAAATATAGACATAAAGTATTCCAAAGATATCTAAACAGAGAAAATAGAAATTTGAATAGAAAACTGAACTCTTAAGAAGCTGACTACATTTTTGTTTAAAGAACCCAAGGATAAGGAGCCAAGATGGCTGGTGTTACCTGCTTGTACCCTTGACCAACAAAGCGAGCACGAAAGATTGTAGAAACAGAGGTTGAATCAGTCTTATTTTTCACAACAGCAACATCTGATATTGGTTGGGCAGGATCGATGCTAACCACAGAATCAGCATCCAGCTCTGAGTCACTAACAAGGCGAGCTCCCTGAAGATACCTGCATTTACCATTTCAATTAACAGTTAAGAAAATTTATTAGAGAAATAAAATTGCTTCAATTTAAATAAGGTCTGCTAAAGCTTATCTGGTTTACCCTGCCTGATAAATTATTTTATACTATGTCACAATTAAGAAGTACAATATTTATGTCTATGCCACAATTTTTGGCTTCGTAACCCTGTCTTATCTGATTTTTCTTAAACCATCAAACTGAGTTCAGGTATTTTGCTCCAAAACTTAAAAGTTCACTTGCAATGCTTAAGTTTCTGTAAGTGTTCGTAAACAAATCCGATCGGCCTGCAATGTCTATTTGCAAGAGGATGGGGGAAGATTTCTACTGTTTTACTCTGGGACGCTTCAAGTAATAGCCATATATAGATTAAAGTTTTCTTGTGTTCTTCCATAATTCTTAGATTCTGTTCAAGTTTTACAAAATGGTGGCTCAGCCTTAAAATTCTACCAAATACTAATATGTTTGGAGAGTTGACTACATCCCTCACTATTAATCTGCAAAACAACAAGCTTTGGGGATGGTTTATTTTGTCTGCATGATCAAAATGTCTGATCAGCTACTGCTGGGCTTGTTTCACAACAATTGTGAGAGGTATGAATTTCACATATTAAACAGCTTGTTCACTCAGAAAAGAAGACAACAGATGAAACGGAATAGGTCCTCCAACAATGTGTAGTTTGCATTCATCAACTGGGTGAATGTGTGCATTCACATATAAATGCTACCATTAACTTGAAAAATTATTAGGCGTCTTGAATAGAGTGAAGTAGGGTTAGTGCACAAACAAAAAATAGAATCAAGAACAGGATCTGACTTTGATTTTACCTCCCTGCAATACATACATATTTCAGCTCAGGTGTATAGACAGCCTTTTTGCAGTGTTTTTCAACATAATTTAGTAGACCCCTTGTTTGATCAATGACCCCTTGCAAACCTTTCGGAGGAGGCCTACAATAGAACAAAAACATAGATAAGAGAATGTGCTTAAAGTTTCAAGCACTCTTCCCGCTTCCACTCCAACCATGAGTTGAGAGGCAGAAGTAGTTACCAACGACAAAAAAGAAAAAATTAAAAAAAAAAACAAAGAAGAATCAAGTGCCTGCAATTGGAATTACTACAGTTTGTAGAACATACATCAACCACTACAATGTACTAAAATTATTAGAAGAGAAAAGCATGAGACAGAAGGATCAAAAACCCAGTCAAGAATATTCAGCATTGAAATAAAAGAACCTACAAGTGGGGAGTACCAAGAGTCAGAAGCAAGGAGATGTGAGAGAGTCCAAATTCTTCCATGTAAACACGTGCTAGCCATCCTCCAGCAGAGTGTCCAATCAATGATAATGTCCCACCTAAAATCAAGTACATTACTGGTTTAGAAGATACTTTATGACAATGTTTTTGACCGTGAATTCTAGGAAGAGAGACAAAGGATTGCCAGAAACTAGGACAAAATAGACAAGGAACTGGACAAAAACAAATATGATGATATCTAATGGCTTCTTCAAGATGCAGTCTTCATGAATATTGCATTAACTACATGAATGATGTTTAATTATGATAATATTTAATTTTCCTTCACAACAAGAGACAATTTACTAATAAAATCCATCTTTACATTTCCTTTTTTTTTTTGGGATAAACAAATTCATCTTCAGATTTCAGTTTGTTCAAAATGTATGAAAACAGCAATACCATGGAGTTTCCCAATTCTGTTTAAGTGTTCTTTTCCAGAAATGAAATAGCTATAGTTTGCAACTTGCAACACAGTGCTCTTCAGGGTTATTTGGCAAACTTTCTTGTGTAAATTTAACTTCCTCAAAAATGGCAGGTGGTACCCACTAGTTCACAAAACCACTTAAAATGTAAAATTTAATAAACCATGCCATAGAAATACTCAAGTGTCATTTTCAAGAAAATGGTCAAATATTAATTTCCAAGCATTACATACTCAGGTAGAGTCTAGAGTGTCAGTTGAAGAGAACATTTTAGTTACAATGACAATTTACATGTAAAAAGTTGAACCCGTACGCATTTGCTCCATAATGGTGAGCAAATGCCTTATAGCTCATTATATTTGAGAGCAAATCTCCTTTCCAAACACCACCTACGCCACTAACATAGCTCATTTCCATCAAATAATGAGTATGTAACAAGTGACAAAGTGAAGAACATTCAACTTTCAGAACTGTGATTTTTTTTTTTTTGGTCATATTCAGAACTGTGAAATTAATTCAGACTGCTAAAGCCTCCAAGCTATCTGAACAGAAATAATTCTTATTGTGAAATGTTCTTGAAATGATAGAACAGTGCGTTCTTATCAGTATTAACATACAAAAGAGGGCAACATCAAGAGCAAAAATGCTAATAATCTGGACATACATTTGCTAGATGCCTTGAAACTATATTACTACTCTATTTCATTTTTCCAAAATACTATTATTGTGCATTAAACTATCAATAAGAGTCTTGTGGCAGAATTCTGCATGCTTGAGTGACAGAAGGATATAAATTCCAACAACCAACAATTGTAACGCCTTTCCAAACAATACAAAGTTCACAGAACTTCCACATAAAGGAAAGCAATGAAAAATTACTATCACACAATTGAAATGACTCCAAATTGAAAGGTAATGGCAAAGAATCATACCCTGTGCTAATTCCTTTGCTTCTTGAACTGCATCATCAACCCTCTTCAAATACCTGCTTTCACACTATTTAATCAATAAAACAGAGGGAGTGGGGATCCTCAAAACCAATTTCCTAAGTTAAAACTTGCATACATTCATAGGACCACATTCAGGATTGTTTGAATTAAAGATTTTCCTGGCAGAGAAAGGTTAAAGGTACCAGTCAAGAACAGGCCTAGGCTGCAGAGTGCCTTTCCAGTAGTTGGGGTCCACCAAGCCAGCTGCATTCCTCAGCCAATCAATTCTTGAAACCTTAGCAACAACAGTAGGTACTCCATACTCTTGCAAGGTCAACTCCAACTTCTTGTAGTCACCAGTATTATTCCCTAACCCCTGGAGAAAACCAACAAGAAAAGTGTCAAATGTAACAGAACACAAACGTTTATAAATAAAAAGCAAACAAATGCATGTATGTAGGAACGTAGGGGATTTAACTGGAAGGATGACAGCAGGTCGGTAGTTGGTGGAAGAAGAGGAGGAAGATGAGGAGGAGGAGCAGTGGGGTTTGAAATTGAGTGGTGGCAAAGCCAACGCCATGCCTTCCGGAAGTTATGGGATTCTTGTGTTTTGACTGGCTCCTCATATTAACTGTCGGAAGTTGAGAACTTTTAGGTGCTGTTTTAAGGAAGGCTTTTTTTTATTTTTTTATGTATTACAGTATCAGTTGGCACTTGGCAGGATGTCTACCTAGATTAATGTATGGGCTGGGCCTGTTTTTGACGGATACTTAGACAACAAAAAATAGTACTCATACGAAAATGGAAGAAGGAAGGGTGAGCCAGTAAAATAAGAAAAAGAAAAAATGGCTTCTTTCGTTTGCTTACACAGTTGTGCAGTCCCAAGGGCTGCGAAACAAGCTCTTTCCTCGCTGGTGTTACTCCACAAACTCCCCTCTTCTCTTCAACCCAACCATTGTATCACCAAAGCTTTTGCTTCTTCTTCTGCTTCTGTTTCTATTGATGCTAATAAGGAGCTCAGGAGCAATGAACTGGTGGCTCTCGAGTATGCTGACCTTAACCTCACTGACAAGATTTCTCAGGTACCCTTCTATTTCTCTCCATTGGCAAGTTTTATCTTTTCATGATAATGGGTCATCAAGTTTTCTTCTTCTTTTTATGATAATGGTTTGTCAAATTTTTCTCTTTTAAGTATAAATTTATAATGGGTTATAAATTTTTTCTCTTTTTATGATGATGTTTTTTCCCTCTCCTTTATTTGATTGCAGGAGTTGGGTCATGTAAGAATCAGGCAACATGTCAACCCTCTTAGTTCATCTTTCTCTGTGAGTAATGTCTACCCTCTATTGCAGTGCAGTATTTTTTGAGAAAAAAAAAAAAGGAACAGGTTATTTCTTATGTTCAATTAGAAAAGTAAAGGTTTTGTCTTATTGGCTTCTGTTGTTAATACTTCTTGGCTTGGTATGGGAGATTTAGTGGTTGAATAAAATTTCAAATTATTGTTTTCTGGATAGGTGCCAGCGCCTATACCTGATTGGAGTGAAGTCTTCAGGGACCCAACATTGCCACTTATGGTGGATATTGGATGTGGTAACCCCTCTATTTAATATATCTGCGAACTGTTGCCATTCATTAATAATTCTTTCAAATTATAGAGAGATGATTGATACATAAATGAGAACATGTTAGCTACTGCATAGTATTTACAAATCTACCTTTTCAATCATGGAAAGCTACTAATTTATTATCCAAGTAGTGATAAGAACTATTTTAGCCATGTAGAGTTTAGGGAGCGCAGGTGGCTGTTCCCTATTAGCTTCTTAGAGTTTTAAATCCTTTATTCGAAACAATCACCATGATGCTTGGATTCTTGTATAACAAATGGCCTTTTGCAATTTCTCCTCTCATATTTGGACTCAGATGATGGTGGATAACATTGAAAAGGCTTTAGGAAGTTATAATTTGTTAATGGCTTTCATTATCCAATAATATGTATCATTATGATATTGATTAGGCAGGTTAATGTCGAGGCTGGGTACTTTAGAGGTGTGGAGTGATGCCCTTTAGATATTTATTGTCTTTTGGCTGCCCTTCTTTTAAGCATAATGTGCATGTCAATAGATTGATAACTTGAGTTACTTTATTGTTTATTTGATTAGCTTTTACAACATATGTCCGAAATCAGTGTTTATAATTTTCACTATGTCTTTCAACCTTTGCTTCACAACTTAGATTATTAGCATTATCATCATAGGTATCATGCTTTTTATTATTTTTGTTGTTACCTGCATTGTGGTTACTACTGCTACCGGGGTATGTATAAGTATTTGATGAATCTAACAATGATAAAAAAATTCTCAGGAAGTGGCAGATTTCTCATGTGGCTTGCAAAACAAAATCCTGATTCACAAAATTATTTGGGACTCGAAATACGAGCAAAAGTATGAGATAGAAGTCCTTGGATTACGTCTAATTCACTCAAGAGTTCCTCTGATTGAGTAAATTTACATTTACTTGGTCTTCTTTTATTCTTGGAATAACAAGATATGGGTGTTTAATTTGATGTGGTAATACTTTTTACTTGTCATGTAGCTGGTCAAGCGTGCTGTGTTTTGGGTAAAAGAGCTGGCTCTTAGTAACATGTAAGGCTTCGAAACTCATTTCACATGAAGGACAGTATTACTGGGGATTTGATCATGTAGTTTTAAACTTTGTTGCAGACATTTCATATTTGCAAATGCTTCAGTTTCCTTCAAACATTTAGTGTCTACTTATCCTGGACCATTGATGCTAGTTTCAATATTGGTGAGTGCGGTTTTGCCACTTTATCATTCCATGTCCTTTTAATAGTAGGTTAAACAACAATATTTGTGGCTTTATGCAGTGCCCCGACCCTCATTTCAAGAAAAGGCATCATAAAAGAAGGGTTGTACAGAAGCCTTTAGTTGATTCCATCCTAACTAGTTTAATGCCAGGAGGAAAGGTATGCCCTTCCATTCACTTTGAATGATAATTTTGGCTTTTCATATAGCATGTGATTATAGGGTATACCATAATCTATTCTAAACACTTTGAAACTATTCCTGTAACTTTCTTGTATTATTTGATGTCAGATCTTATGAAACTGATTTCAGACTTTTTCAATTAATAGTGCCAATTTCTGTTACAGTTCATTGCTTACGGTTGATCTTAATTAAAGTAAGGCTTCTGCTAATGAGTGCCATTAGGGCATTCTTTAAGGTTAGTTAAAACACTATTTATAATAATATTTTTGTATTATATGTATAGTTGATACTTAATGGGATGATTTTCAATGCATTGAAAGAAGATATTACCTAATATAGTAGCGGTAAAAAGTTCCCTTAGGGCACTCGTTAGCAAAACCCTTAAGGTAACTATCATGTGCCTATGCCTTGATAGATCATCTTATTCAATGGTTCCTAATATATTAAGATGACTGAATTATTTGCAGCAAACTCTTATGGTGTTTTTGAAATTCTTTTTGGTACATCTGCTTATGCTTAAGTTGCTTGGAGTATAGCATCTGTCTATAGAACTAAAAGATGGCCTTGATGCAGTTTATTAGGACATTGAAGAATAAGTCCTTGGTATAGGTTGACAGAGATACATTTGCATGTATCCTCACAACCCAAGAAGAAAGGCAAGAGTCTTGGGAAGTGGGGCTGCGAGCTGCACAAGCGCACAAAAAAGTTTCAGTTTTCTGGTTTTCCACTTCAAAATATGTGGCATCCCTGATTGACCAATGTTCTTCTAGGGGTGAATCTTTCTGTCTCTTCAATATTTGCTGCTCCTGAATAGAAATGATTAGAAAATTACTGGCATTTGCTCAGCAGTTGGTTTATTCCACTTTCTTCATTTACCTTTCACAGCGATTCTTACTGCAAAATCCCACTTCAAAACCATACAAAGCTACCTTTTCTACTAAATGATCTATATATTCAAGCTCTAGAATATTGTAATACAAGATTTATGATTGTACTTGGACAGGTTTTTATACAATCTGATGTGCTTGAAGTTGCTGTCAACATGAGAAAGCAGTTTGATTTGGAGCCAGGTGCACTTCAACATGTTGACACGGTTGATCCAAGTGTGTTATGTGATGATGAGGGATGGTTATTGAACAATCCAATGGGTATCAGGACTGAAAGAGAAATCCATGCAGAGTTCGAAGGTGCGAAAATATACAGGAGGTTGTACCAGAAAAGAATACACTTGTAAATTAGAGGAGAGGAAATTTGAGGCATGTCTATCTCATTTTGTACCTACCATGTAGGAAGTTTCATACCGGGAAAGAAGGTTGCTTCAAGAAAACATCATGGGATCAAGACTTCTTCCATTTTGCTAAATTTGAAACTTCAAACCCTTTTGTTTATTGAATTGAAATCTCAACTCTAAACCCCCTCCCATTCACAAAAAAGGCCAGCAGCCATTGGTAACAATCTTTGGTGCATGAGGATGCAGGGAACTTACTGCAAATGGTTAACTAATTTGAGCCCTTTTTCTTTTCATAAAGGGAACCAGTAGACCCAAAAAAGAGTTGATGGCTTGACACTGTCAAACTATGGTCTGGCATAAGTTTGATTGAGTAAAAACACCTTTACGAAAAGAAAATCTTTGATAATATTCGGATTGTTGGCGCACCAACGCGCATCAAGAAACCACCTGGCGGCCCCACGAGGAGAAATGCCATTGCAACACGAGCGGCACTCGGACACCATAGCATCAACAATTGGAAATTTCAACCTTTGGTGCCTTTATTTCCATACACAATCCTACTGGAAAGAATCCAAGAAAAAGCTTGTGCCACGCTAAGGACGACTGTCATGTACCATTGCTCAAAAATAAAGCAACCTTCTCCATCTTTTTAAGATTTAGAATAATGTGTTATGGGCAGAGAATAACTTTTACTTTGTATTCTATTGTGACGAAAAAGATAATATTTGCACTACTTAAATGATGGTGATTTATGGACTTTCACATGTACTCCTAATATCACGGTCATGTTAAAATCACACTAATTAGTTCTAATAAATCTTGTTGTAGTATTTATTCTGCAGTGATATTGTAGTTAATAATCAATTTCATGAGATTTTTGATACAGAGGATTTATCAGAGTAGTAATTGTAGAGCATATAACTCATGACATTACTTATTAGATGTAAACAGTGATTTCATATATTAAAATGTTAATAATTAAAATAAATTTTCACTCAAATGATCAATATTATATATAAATATAAAAAAATATGAAAATTTCTTTCTTTTTTTCACATTAAAATCAATCAGTTGAGTTAAAAAAATATATTAATTGATTTTCTCTCTTTGTGAATTTTAAATTTCGGTAAAATAGAGTTATTTGAGATGAATATTTTATAAATAAATAAATATATTTTACAATATTTTATCACATTAGATAAGATAAATAATTAAAAAATTAAAATTTATCTTACACAACAATCATGGATATTTTAAATTTTACAAACGATATTAGAAAAATGACATGTGTATGTATTTATATATTTATAAAAATTAATTAATTATTATATAGGTAAATAGATTTCATTGGCCTTTATGAAAAAAAAGAACGAACAAACTGAATATTACTTAATGATTAAGGG